ACACACACTCGTTTAAGTACACAATCGGTTAACGGTGCACGACACATGCGTCTAATATATACGTGTGACGTGTACATATATATTAAATTCCGATTTACAATTAAAATGTGTCGAAACAACAATAATTACAATACTCGCCGACAGTATATGTATACATGTATCGTAATATATAGTATGCATTTATGTGCGCCAAGCAATATACATATACATCACAAGCGTAGAGACATACTCGAAGGCCCTTTAAGACAATGCGCCTGTGTCGCTGATAGGTACATTATATGAGTATATAACGGACTTCGGCCCGTGCATGTTATATTATATAGGTACGTCCGGGAAGCGAGTACCAATATATATGTGTGTCTGTGTGTGTGCCTACGCGTATAATATGTTATATTATATTATGTACTATGTAATATACAGCTCTTTTGTGCCCGATCACACGCCGCAGTGGATGTGCAGGCGGAACGGTGTTTTTCGTGCGTTTAAGTGCATGATACACGTTTTTGTTCTAATTCGTTTGGGATTATTTGCCTACTTCATATCGATGCGCCCGGAAATTCCGCAGCTGCAAAACGGAGTATCGCCGGCCGCGAGCCGAATGTTGGTCAACTCGAAGAAAACAAAACAAATATCCCACTCGTGTAATGACACCCGCGGCCGCGTTATCCGTGTTAAGTATATACATCGTCCAGAAATCACGACAGACCTATATTATAAGCAATACAATTTTCGGGGGGGAATAAAAAATAATAACAGTCGACCCCTCCGATCCGCGCAATCACGTTGCGGACGCTACACTTGACACGAAACAATATAAAAAAATACGCGGAAATCCAATGTTGATTGTGCAGCTGGTATATTATATTGGTGTATATATACGAATAAATATAACGTGTACTTACAGGTGGCGTATAGTGGCTATATATAGATACTATTGTAGGTAAGAATGTAAGATGTAGTTGTTCGTAATGTTCTATTACTTTCAATGTTTTACCGGCGATCATGTTGATGTGAGCGTTTACACCCCAATCGTTTGAATTTTAAACTGCTTTAAAAGTTAATTTGGATTGCCCCGTCATTATACACTTTGTTGTATACTTGTATAAATGCCATGATTGTTATACGTGTACACTATAGGTGGGTTAGTAGGTACCTACCCTCGATAATCTATTCTGTACCCACGAGAGTATAATAATAGCATAGATATACAGGTATTAATAATCATAATTATGCCCACTTTCTGTTTTTAAAAGCAATCATCGATAGTAATAAGTATTCAAATTTCAGGTTTTTGGTATTTTCAATCCATTCTTCTTCTTGTTCTTTTTCTTCTCCAAAAAAAATACACGCCTATCCAAATTATGAATATATTCCATTTTTTTTTTTTTTTTTTTGGTAACACGCGATCTCTTAACGTAGGTACCTGCTATAGTATCCGCCTCTTTTTTGAAAATAATTATAGTTCTTAACGAAAATAATTGATTATTATTATCGTTATAAAATAATGATCATCTATATAGTCACTATATAGGTATTATAGACTATATATTGACTATATGTATGTAGGAAATAACTAACTTAAAGGCATGATATGTATTAGATTTTTGACAGAAAACAATTTCATAAACGAACAATATCTATAATATAATAAGTATAAGATAATTTCGTTCGATAGTTATTTTCGTAAATTAGATATAATGTTACAACTTATCGGAGTAAGACAGCGTAATTATTACAGCCATGCAATCGTTTTTAGTAAGCTACTTGTTTTTTTAACAAATAAAATAATTTGTCAGAAGGCATTACACCCACTCGGTCGAGCAATGCGTATATTACTTTGAAACTCCATTCAACTGCACTATATATAGGCATGGGAAAAATGTTTACGTCAAATTGATTTCCATCGAGAACGTCTAAAATGACAAACCACTGTAAGACTACGTAGACAACTGGCGTAGCTCTTGACGAGATCCGATCGATATCCTTGATGTTGTCGGTCGTTTATATAGGAAGTTCCATAATGGTTCCGAAAACTTAATATCAGCACTAAGCAAAACACCTGCGCATTGTTGTAGAACAATACAACGCAGCGGTGGCGGCGGTATATCAAGGTATATACAGTACCTATATACATATATATACTTGTGTGCATGAGCAAAATCTCTGGGCGAGGTTTGAAATGTAACAACTTCCCACGCAAGAAATGCGATCACACGCCGCCGTAAAACTCTTCAAAGTCAAAAACTCAATGTCAGACCGCCTTGGAGATATGGAGAGAAAAAACGAGCGCTCGCATCTCTGAAAACGAACAGAGACTTATTTAGAATTTTCGCACCCTGGTGCTAATTGTTTTGCCTCTCCTTTAAAACGTAACTTTTTATTGTAAAAAATTAATTTTGATTATAATATTTATATGTTCTATTACATATTATTAAATAGAAAAAACAGTTACGACAGAGAAAGATTAACCTTTTTTTTCTAAATGTTACCATACAATAGTAATCAATATAATATACACATTTATAACTTAAAAAGTATTCATAAATTATTAAGAAGACGCGATACCGGAATATGCTGTCTCCGTGTCTAACAAGTGAGTGACATAATAAATTTTACGCTAGGCATAACACTCGTGTAGCTCCGTTAGTTTAAAAATTAGAGTGATATCACCTCTTCGTAAATCTAAAGGTAAGATTATTATCTAGGCAAACTCATGGTTTTTTTATTATATTTTAATTTTAATGCTAGTTATTTTGTGTATTTTAAAATTGTGCATTGTTTGTACATCTTAAAATACTCATAACTCGCTTTAAAATTAAAATATAATAAAATGCCCATGAGGTTACCTAGATAAAAATCTTACCTTCAAATTTTATAAAAGGTCAATTCACTCTTATATTTAAATTAACGGAACTACAAGTGTTCTGCTGAGCGTACAATTTGGTATGTTACGCAATTGTAAGACGGAGAAAATACATTCGGGTATCACGTCCTCTCAAATATAATTCAATTCAATGTTCCAAAAAAATAATTTTATATTATGTATGGTATAGCTAGTACAGTAATAAAATGTAATTCCTTAATAATATTATAAAATAAGATAGAATACCAATAATCATAATAAAACCACAATAAAGGTTAAATAATAGTTAAAATTTGTTAATACACTTAACTAATTATTATGATTATAATAACTAAAATAGCAAATATTACTCCCTAACAAAAAGTGCCATTCGGAGCGACCACCCACCTTAAATACGTCTATACGTAACGTTCAAAATTAAGAGCACAAACTTGGTTTATGTTATATTATACGTGCCGTGGTGTAAGACGCGTGAGACAAATCGTGTTTATAATTTTTAAAAACTGAACGAAAAAAAATTCACTCACCGGTGCACACTTTGCACCGTTCGGCGTGGTGTTTATTGCGCAACTGTAATCGCATACTCAGCCGTCGCAGACATAATAATAATAATAATAATAATATTATAGTAATATTATAATATCATATTATTTTAGTAGGTACAAGTGAAAAAGATGTAGATCGGAATATATATTTAGGCGAGCCCCGACTATAGGATCATCCGTTTTGGTCACGACCTCTGGGGAGGCCTCCAGGCGAGCGGCGCTGCCACCGCTCATTCACGTTTTCGTTTATTTTGACTGCTGACGGGCTGGGAGTCGGTCTCGACTAGAACACACTCACATACATCCTACACACACCTTACAAACAATACAAATAGAGGAGGCGACAGACGAGACTGCGTACACAATATAATCGTGTAAGTACATATATACTATACTTTGAAGTATACATTACATAACCTAACCTAACCTTATATTGTATCCGTCGTCGTCTTTGTCGTCTGCCTTGTTCTTGCGATAGTTACATTTGCAACGAAACAGCGTCTCCGTGTACAAGTCGACGGGACTTAAGTTTTATAATGCAGACAACTAAGTCGTCGATGTCATCAGCCGGCAGATGATCGGATCACTGCAGTAGGTAGTCTCATCGTACAGTGTAAACTTCGTGGTCGTCGTCCTGCACTGCCGTTGTCAACATTGTCTCACACAAACATAAGCGCCAATGTAATTTTGTATTATTGAAAATGTACAAATGCGATTAGTTAATCGACACCTGTAAGTTATCACTACTACATGCAGGGACAGAAATTGACACGCTTACACAATTACACCTAACTGCACGTTAATTTCTAATGAGCCGTTTGAAACATATTATGCCAAGTAGGTACAAGACAACTGCATAACATAATATAATGCACATACAATATAATATATATTATCATTTAAGAATTTTCCCAAATCCCAATACGAAACTGTCTGTACTATGTACTTCTTACAGCCTATATAATGGCTATAACAAACACCTTAGATGAAGCAGGAACAGATATGCACTAATTATCAATTTCCTATAGGTAATTATAATTCATATTATTATATTATATTAAATACCTACATTTTTATCAATCATAGGTACCCATTGTGTAAAATATTTTGATCTACATTTTAAATATTTTTTATAATCCTTTGTTAAATAAAACTGTAAACATATTATTATGATTATTGTAATTTTTAAATTACATGCATTTTACAACTGCCAGCTTTTTTAATACCTAATAAATAATAAAGAAAGACGATAATACAAAGGAGATAATTCCGAAGTCTCAAATCACTGAAGCCCTTCGATTCAGTACAATATATATTATGTATCATATATTATAGTCTTAACATCAAGTCCGGAGACTGCAGTTCGTCGGACTTTTTACTGCACAGAAAAGCTGAAAACGGGCATATCGTATGATACATGAAATGTATAGGATTTATGTTTATAAAGCATTGTTATTATAATATGTTACAATATATTTTATGTACGCGAATCGTATCCGATAGCCCGTCGGGGTCGTTTTAATAAAATATTATGCCTTTACGGTGGTTGGAAAAAAAAAGATAGATACGATATTTTATACACTATTAAAGTATTAAACTATGGGAGACGGTCGTCGTGTCGTGTGCCGTCGCCTATGATGTGTATATAGGACGCAGTGGTGGCGGGGAAAGAAGAAGTCGTCGGCGATTGCTGCTGCCATACCACTCCGTTCCACGCGGAAGCGTTTCTCGCAGCGTGACGTCAGCGCCGCCGCCGCCACCACAGCCGTCGGAAGTGGCCACCGCGGTCGCGTGGAAGGGGGCACCGGGGCTCCGGATGGACCGCCGGCCAACGGTGTCTCCGATCGGTTCTTCAATAGTCCGTTGCCAGTGGACTGGCGAAGGCCAAGGTCTGATATTTTCTTTCGTACATTTGCACACCGTATAAAATATAATATCATTTCCTATATTTTATATTCCCGACGAAACTCAACTATAACATTTTATCCGACAGTTTTTTGAAATTGTTCACATTTCTCCGCCGTCGTCTCCTATTTGCCGTGCACACCTCATTCACGCGAGTGCAGTTTTTTGCGAACAAAAATTATTAAATTAAATTTAAACCGAAATTCGTATTTCGATCGTTTTTGTTGTGCGCCGTTTTTGCATCCAGCCGCCAAGCGGTCCAGTCCGCCGCGCCAACCACACCGCCTACACGGAAGCACCGTCTTCCGCCGTCTTATCAAGAAGACTTCCGCCGCTTCAAATGGGTAAGAATTTGTTGTAAGGTGTTTGACCTCGGTCTTTGAGAACACATTTTTTTTTTTTATGTCGGTTTGCGAATTTGAAATTCTCTACTTCACTGCTACATCATCTATACGAGTTATTTTGCGGTTTTCGATCGGTCAAATATATTATTACAGGAACGGTCAATATATGCACGTAGCATAATAACAACAATATTTCTCGCTCTCTATCTCTCTCACGCTCTACTCCGAGATCGTTCTGTCTTTACATTGAATATATATATATATATATATATGTGTTATTTTTGCAATAAACAATTTCATATTTTAACAGCGGCAAATATTATGTTTCGAAACAAAATAAAGCCGTACAGATGATAACTGGTGTTGATGACGCTAGCTTAGTTTACTAACCTCGGTACAGGATATTTAGTGTGATATTGAATTAATAAAAAATATTCTAAGCTTGGTTAAGACCTGCCGCAGTTGCTTCGATATTCTGTAATTTTTCATCGCGCTCATGTGCTGATAAAATCATAAAATAAATATTTCGAAGTACTTGTAACTACAGTATACTGCTCGACTTTTGATCGATATAATATAGTTTTGACGACCTCTTCGTAAAGTAACCCCGATTGTCAACGGGTCCTTCCTTCACTCGGAATCATAGAAAGATACACTCCGGAATACTATTTTGTTCGAATCGCACGTAAAACACTATACCTAGGTATACAAAAATGTAGAGCTGCACACGTACGTATGTCCCACTGCAGCAGTGCAGTTTTGTCGAAAATATGATATATAATATACATTTATAGACGCATATCGACCGTATCCGTTGTATACAAAATGCACAAACGTGTACGAACATAGTCCGAAATTTCGTATTATCCACGGCAGCACGGTGTTATAAATACTCAAAAAACCTATATACGCTACCGCTATTCGTGTGTTAATAATTATATAGTCCGCGTCAAATTTAGTTTCCGTATTTCGGCCTCTCGCGGCGGCGGCGGCGGCGTTCTGCATGTATAGAGAGAAGAAAAAAGCCTAACTCGAACTGACCGCTTTGACGAGGACGGCCATCGCATAACATAAAACAGCATAATAATAATATATACCTAGAATAATAATATGGAATAATATAATATTATGCACACACGACACACGGGCGTCGCCGATGCCGGTGCAGCTGCAGTCTGCGCGCGCGTCGCGGATAACAATCGAACACGTCATAATAATATACGTGACCCGTCGTCCGTCGGTCCGTCTGCGATATTATGCTCGTCGTATATGGGAGGTATGCGACGAGACGTGCGGTGTAACACTCGGGTTCAAAAACGTGTGGCAATTCTATAATATAAGTATAATAGCAGTGATATCGGCGAGCGTTTTCAGCGTCGTGGGCTACCTCGGACGACTCACGCGCGGTATAGATTTCAGAGGCGGAATTTCGGACGATAAATTATCATTATTGTAGGTATAGACACATACACACACGCACACACACACACACACACACACATAAATATGGATCAGTGAGACGTGTATGGATAATAATTAAGCGGACGTTCAACGACGGCCGATAAACGAACTGCTGCAGCACTGCACCACGATATAATTTGCAACATAATGAATATTACAATTAAATATAAAAGTATATACAGGTATAGACCTACTCAATAATACGCATACTGCCTATAATATACGGCACCTATATAGCGGCTATAGGATGAGATTAAAAAAAAACGTGGTTATAATTGTATCGCAGTCGCGAATGAAGAAGACGGTGAAAATCACGCGATTTTTTCACTCGGGCTCGTTTCCTAGAAGACTTCACGCCCGGCGAAAGCGACAACGCGGCTCTATATCGATCGTATACTCTTAAATGCACCGCCTAAATTATATTTAAATAATATATAATACATATATATACAAATATATATAGGTGGTTACGAAAATAATAACCTGCAGGTGTATCATCGGCGTCGGGCGCGGATTTATTCTTCCGCCGACTGATCAATTCATCACAGTGTTTATGTTTTGATTATAATCCTCATGAGTTTTTTTTCGCATGGCATTAGTTATACGTCATGTGCCGAACGACCGCGCCGTTATACCGAGAAAATATGTTCGCTCACTTAATTTCCCCCTGGCTAATACCGTTTTGTTTCAGACTGATTTTTTGCAAGGCATTAATCTAAAATACAAAACAAAAAAAAATGCATAATATAAAATGGCCAGCCTTACAGGATATATATTATATATATGTGTGTGTGTTTATAAGTTATCCGACACGCGGGACTGGTTTTAACCACAAGACAACGCACAAGTCGCACATTATATACTATAGGTATTATAATTTGTATTACCTATAATATACACATCACACACATAAACACATATACACAACGAAGAATTATAATAAATCTAAGTGTTTCTCGCTGATATAATAATATAATATTATGCATAGATAGGTCTGACGAGCTTCGAGATTTTTTTCAAACCGTCGGCGATGTCATAATAATAATAATAGGCGTTTAAAACGCCACGCGTAACGTTGTTTAATTGCCCTCGTACGTATTATTATTTTATTATAATCATATTATTACAGCGATGGTGAATAAGCGCATTATAAGACACAATATATTATACAGGTACAGGTAATACATGTGAAAATAAAACGACATGAATATTCATTATCAATTATTATTATTTTAACTCGTCTCTTCCCGATAACGGGAGTCGTGTTTCACTAGTGCGAGGTGTGCATATATAATATACATAAAAGTAGGTACACCTGGATGGCGGTGGGTGACGTTTTCGCGGGGATAAATCGTTAGACTTTATCGCCGTCAATAATAATCGTTAAACTCGCGGGAGTACCTAGCTACAAATCATTCACGATCGAGGTATGGTATTATAGCAGTACGTACACGGCATAATAATATTGATAGTTATTAACAATAATTAAATAAATGTCACTTGTATAGTGTTATCACTGATTTAACATGGCACCGAAATTTCACAGAAGCTGGAAGCGTGTTTGAATCCTCTCCCATAAACGTTCAAATTATAATCTTACATCTCCATAATATTATAAATTATAAACATGGTATGCCTACCGTTCAGCAGTTAATAAAATAAGAATATAATGGGTCAATATAGCCACATAAGTGTTAGAACTATTTCTCTAATCATTTACTTTTTTTTGTTGCCAATTTCAGCTTCAAATTAATTATATAACTATCGTTTTGTGACTGCATACAATCAACACTAACGTTTGTTGTTTTGGATAGTGATTTAAGAAATTTACAAATGAAATTATAGTAACAAAAACTAACGATATTCAACATAAACAATACTAAAGAAAATTATTAAAATGTATCTTGTAACGTGTAACATATAATTTTAAATTTGTGTTTAACCTGTATAATAAATGGTAGGACAATCCACCTTATTATTTTACCTTTAACAACATTATATTTTTATCCGTTCATCACATTTAATTTTGAATTTATCAATTATAATTAAATCATATAACTGTACAGTGTACACCTACCTACTAAATTGCTTTAAATAGTCTTCCAACACTAAAGGGGTTACGCTTAAATTAAATTTTATAGTAAAATATTATGAGGGGGTTAATGTCGTTACAAATTGGGTTTATTGTCTAAGTAACAACGACAGACCTGAGGCAGGTACGCCCTACGTTGGTTTAATGTTTTCATCTCGATAATATTATTTGTCTCATACGCTGAAAAAAAACCAGTTACCGGGTCACGTCAAAATAACTATAAACACAGTTTAAGGCCATCGTTGTATTTTACGTTTATATACGATCCTATAAAAATAATAAATATAATATCTAATACAACTATTATTACACGTTGGTAGGTAGTTCGCATAATATAATATACTTATATCGACACGCCAACGTCACAGTGTAGGTACAATATTATTCGCGCGCACACATAAACCAATAATTATTGACAACGATTAAAATACGGGACTAGGTCTACCGTTATAGTCATAATACGATCTGCAAGTAAACGGTCGTATAACTATACTAAATAATAAAAAACTTAACTATTAAAAAATAATGATATAATATTGAGAACTTGTACGGCAAATGTAGGTATAAGTGCACCATACAGGTGATGGCTTTAAAGGGACTATAAAGTCTCCTGGCTTGGTCTATAAAAATAATGGGTCAGTAAACTATTTTGTTTGAACGGATCATGAAAACATTTCTACTATTAATTTATAAGAAACTGCAAGGTTAATATATTGAAATGTTTAATGATGTTTAAGTTGGAATATTCAATTTCCATCATTGATCACGACGCATTTAAAGAGGAAATTTTAGTTGTATTATCGTTAATTGGTTGTTAGATTTTTTTTCTAATTTGATGACACACAAAACGTGATCAACAATCACGTAGGTACCTTAATGTACCTTATAATCTTTATTGGTGATCACAATTTGCGGTAACGCTGAGCTAAAAAGTTATGCTATTCACAAACGTTATTTTGATCAATGCGACGTGTAAAAATTACCGATAAACTGGTATGTTATAAATTATTTCTTGGACTTAGAAGTACCAACAAAATACCTATAATTTGTGGTTATGATAAATTTGGTTTTTAAATTAGTGTTGAAAAATATTAAACGTTTTAGCCTTTATAATTTTTATATTGAACAATGCGTATTA